TCTTAAAAGGAGAGAGAACAAAGGAGAAAACCTCCCAGCATGTGCTTTCCAAACCAGCTTCTTAGGACAGTATCAAGAATGACAATACTAGAACATAAGCTTTTCTTTTTCATTCTTTGATCCATGTATAATTGAATTGATTATTGCAAACTGTGTAATGATTTCCAAAAGACTTGAGTAGAAGGCAAAGATCACAACAATCTAATAACCAATTTAAAGAGATGTAAGAAATATTGAAGGAAAGATTTAATCACTCAAGTATACTCCTTCCAATTAGAAAGAGCTTTAAATAGCTTACCTTGAGATAAATTAAGAGTCTGTATGCAATTATACAGGAATAGTAATTAAGATCAGGAAAATTCACATATGCCTCAGCCTATAGAGTTAGGGAGGTAATCCACAGAAGAACAGACTTTTCAGTTACCTTGTTTCATCAACAGAAATTAAAACATACTGGTTCGATCTCTCCATACCTTCGAGAGTACCAGAGAACTCACTAACCTTACAAGTCTGAAATCTGCAAAGCATGTTTGATCTTATCTGATTATTTTTTTTTCCAATAGGACAAACATTCTCAAATGGGGCAAGAGACTGAAATACTCTTGATCATGGTAAGAAAATACATTACGGGAAACACTGTTTCATGATTTAGAACTCTGTGAAAAATTACGGCAAGTAAGAACGACCACTGTTTTTCTGGAAGAAGCAAGATCTTTCATTTTCCTTTGTGTATTTGGCAATACCACCCGTCATATCACATTCCTCAATTTACAGGTATGTGCATTAACCACATGTACCCACACAGTTCTTTACACAGGACGGCAAGAAAGTTTTAGAAACTTGACTAAGTTTTTCTGACAAACTTTATCTGGCAAGGCAAGTGAGTTACTGTGCAACCATTACATTTGCTTTTAGTTTTTAAAGATCACAAATTCTGAAATCAATGCCATTTGCTAGCTAATCAGAGGAGAAATGTGATTTTACCTAAGAAAATTAAAATAATGAAAGGAATTCACCGTTCATTCTTCAAATAGCACAGTCTTAATCACAAACCCTCCCTTAGTTACGTCTCCTTTCAACTTTCAAAAAAAAAGAAAGAATTTAAAAGCACATTTTCTGGGGGTGTGCTCCTGCTTAAGAATACCCGCTGCACCCAACTATGATAGAACGGCCTTCTATTAGCCCCATTTTTCCAAGGAGCGCTCACCTCATCTAGTACCTAATAACTGAGCTGTACGACTTTTAAAAAAACAGTATGTGTCAGCTACAACTCTAAGCAGAAATTTTATGCCCACTTGTCTTTCCCTCTCCTTCCTGACAGAGGGACCACACCCACACACCTCTTTTTCTTTGTACAGTTTAAAGAAAAAAAATATAAATGCATTGAAGTCTTCAAAGTAACTATTTTTTTTCTTATGTAAACTGGCAATACCCCATAGCTACCAAAAAAAAAAAACAAAAAACTGAACAACTTTTCACAGAACTCAGTTCTACCATCCTACAGTCCCAGCTTGCAAGTACCACTACCATATCCTGAGCAGCAAAGTGAAATAGAAAATAAACTAGTCGGTTTGACATTTATCCTTCAGATCCCTGAGGTAGCAACAGTACTTTTTTTTTTAAAAAAAATAAAAAATCATAATTTCTCTCTACTGGTTCTCAAGAAGCAGGTTTCAGAAAGAGATCAATAAGGAAGCCCAGGATGACAAGCAGGCACAAACACACTTCTACAAAAGCTCCACCTGTAAAGCTGCAGAGACAGAGGAAAGGAGAGGCCTCTACGCTACGCTCCTGCAGACCAACCGCACTCCGACACATGTGTACGTACCCGGAGCCCGGAGGCTCTGTGATGGACAAGAGGGTTCAGGTTTCAAAGCTCCTAAGATCAATAAACTGCCGATTTTTCATAGTAAAATCATGCATTTCAGCACTGTCCTTGACCACCATCCCACCATCTTAACATACATTGGAAGAAAAAAAAAAACAAAAAAACAACAAACTTTATTCCCTAGGCTCTTGCCTATTTTCACCCTATTTGAGTCAGTCTTGTTTATAAAGGCATCACACAAACTCAAGCCAGCTACTGTGCACCAAAAACTCTTAAAGGAGTCAGCTACCGAAACACACAAACACACCACTCCATTTGCCACACTAAGATTAACAGAAGTTTAACACTGGAATCACATCTTGACCCTTTATCTCATCATGTGGGAAGCACAATTTGGGAAAAAAAAAGAAAGGAAAAAAAAAAAAAAAAAAGAAGGTGGCTTGGGGGGAACTCAGCTCAAGCAATATACTCTGCAAGATTGCCAAAAAGCCAAAGAACCGCAGAGGATTTAACGAAGAATCTATTCGTCCTGACCAGGCAGACACAGACCCCACAAACTAAGTTGGAACACGTACAAGATTTTATACTTCTTTACACCCTGACAGGTCTTTAAGCATCTAAAAATGAAAGCACAAGAAACCTTGATACAGAGAAACCTGAGACCTACCGAAACTCTAGGGAAAAACAGAATATTTCCCTAGACATACTTTACATACTCTGTAGTTTATGTTACGCATTTAATATACTTCTGATTTGTGTCTTTCTCTGTGTTAACTGTAAAGTTAATATGAGAGCGAAGCCGTCCTGATGAGTAACGACCCTATGACAACTGCGACGAAATTCAGAAACTTTTTAAACACGCTGCCGGGTGCGTGAGGCAGAGTTCGCACCCCCCCACACCTTGTCAGAGTGACTGGAAAGATTTTGGGGGCCCTTTTTTGTCGGATTTTTTTTTTTTTTTTTTGGGCACACAGCGCAGACACCCCACCACCCCTCTATTCCTCCTCCTCCTCCTCCAAACACCCGATGGCAGGCGGTACGAGGAGTCGCTCCCTGTCCTCCGGCCCGGGCAGGCTCCCACCTCGGCCGCCCCCCC